TTTTACCATAGAAGGTGGCCGCTGTGGGATTAGTTTAGATGGCGATCGGAAAGAGCTAAGTCAGGGCTACACGAAGACTGTGGTGGAATTCCCCAGCTAAGCTTCGGGATCTCGAGCAGTGTCGTTTTCCAAATGTGTGACTTCCAAATGTGTGACCCTGAGCTGTGGAGTAGGCAAACATTGCTCGGTTTTGGGACCAAATGTTAGCGATTTTCAACCCCCCTTTGCAGTTGATTACAATAGGGTTCGTAGGTTACCACAGCGCTGAGAAGAAGAAATTCCATTATGGGAAGGGAGAAAGAAACCTCACCGGAGAAAGAAACCCACCACATACACAGTCTCACCGCCCTACTGGATTGATAGGATTGCGCGATCGGTTCTGCCCTTTCTGGGGGATCTAGCCGCTGGCGCTCCCGGGAGTGATTCACCTAGAGGCACCCACTCCATATCCAGTTACAGTGCTGTTCAACCAGTCCGTACAGCGGAAGCGGGAGAAAAGTTGTAGACAGTACCCACATGTGCTCCCCTTTGTTGGTCAACTCATGAGAAAAATTTTGACCGAACTTCAGAACTTTTCTAAGGGAGCGAGGCCTCTCTCATTTGTGCTTTGGGACCAGTCAAGTGTAAGGACTAGATAGCAAGTTGATTTGTACGTATTGGTTTTAATCAAGGAACACAGTAGGTCCAAATCCAAGGCAGGTGGCCTCCTTGGACGAAGTTTTTCACCCGGATAGAAGTCACTAAAGCGGAAGCAATTGGGCCATTCCAAAGCCGTACTGTGGAAGGTAACATCAAGATCTAAATAAGGGAAATGCCGCTTATGGCTCCAACCACGTTGTGGCTTGGTAGAGATTCATATAGCGAAGTGTGTCGAAAATGATGAATTTCAATTACCGTTTTTCATATGAGAACAGCGACTGCGAGGGACGGTGAAGAAGCTATGGAATGCTTACCTCACACACTTCCCATAGACCACATAACTGGATCTTTCTGCAGCCATTTCGAGAACCACATAACTGGATCTCGAAATGGCTGCGGAAAAATCTGATACGAGATTCAAAAAATGTCCACGAACTTTTGGGACAACCTAATATTATTTTTGATAGTTGATCTGAGGTCAATACTCCCCCACCCCCACCATCCGACGGGAAGTTTTTGGTAAGGTGACTGATCGGTTTCGAAATGGCGTCGCACCAGAGGAGAAAATAGGGAGGGGAGGCATTTAGAAAAGATTTTCCCCAACGCTAGGACGTGCGTTGCTCTAAAGGCGAATAACCTATCACTCTGGCACGAAAAGCCTGGGTCTCGTGCAACAGGCGTCGATGTCGCAGAAATGCTTCGACGCAGGAGCCTGTACCGCGGCTGCCAAGCACGTCGTGGCATAACTGGGCTTAGGCGGGTAGGATTGGACTACATAACTGGCATTACGTATTATTCTGTGGCACAATCGATCTCCCCTCCCTAACCGCCTGAACCTCAGCAACACAAGGGATAATAATACGAAAAAAAATTGAAGCCAGCCAAAGTATTACCTCGGGAACCCAATATCGAAAGCGACAGGCAAATGATGATAGCGATTCGTAACCATGTAGACGGCCTTAAAAGAGAAGAAATGTTAAAAGACAAGGCGAAAATCAAAGGCGAGTGAGGCGCTGTTCGGCTTGGGAAGGGGGGGGGGGTGCATCTTGCACCTCAATTAGTTCCCTGTTAGTTCGTGTTGAATGACAGGTCTCACTGCGGTAAAATTCGTAAACTCCTGTAAAGCTGTAAAATGGTGCGAGTGAGCCATTCTGGTCACATGTATTTACAGGTTTACACAAGGTTGTATTTACAGGTCCTCACAAGGTGGCCTGTACAAACATAGCTGATTACCATTCGGTGCTCTCATCCATGCCGAACAGCTTGCTGTTCATCATAAACAGGGTACAGCATCGTGGTGTGAAACACGTAGAGGGGTCGTACTTTTCGGCTGGGTAGGGGAGTCGTATTTAGTCGTTGTTGGGAGGGGGAGGGGAGTCGTATGTGACTTTAAGAAAAAGCTGCCGTGTTAAAAAAATTTTCCCCGGTTTTTGAGTTTTCGTGATTTTTTTCTGTTTCATGTGTACCAGACCCCCCCCCTCCCGATCGACAGCAAAATTTTCTGGGGAAAAGTAGGAAAATTTTCGGTAAATTTCAAAAGTGGTAGGAAGTTGGGGGAAATTTAACATGGGGAAAATGCGCAGGTAGGCTGGGGAGGGGGATCGTACCGAGACTCTCTCCCAGCTGCTGACACCGCTATTTCACACATCACGATGCTGTACCCTGGTGATAAAACAAGTCCATTCCAGGATAAAAAGAGATCAATAAAGATTGGCTACAAAAGCTAATGAGAGAAGAGGAACGTCTAGAAGATGAAAAATTAAAAGAGCAGTGAAATAGATTCAAAAACCAACTTGTACTCATGAATCAGCTGTAATTGCTCCTTTTTCAACCAAATCAGGTATCTCCACCGCTAACCAAGGACCCAATCCAAGGGAAAAGGCATGTGCGATTCCGAATTTAGGTACGTTCCTCGCCCAAAGAGGTTTGAAGTGATCTGATAAGGCAAATCTTTCCTCCTCTATACATCTGAAACCACAAATATTAGGACATTAACACTCGAGGCATAAACAGGAAATGATGATGAAAAATGACACTCCGTCCGAGCCTGTGTGTTGCAGGTAGGTTTATATCGGCTAACAAGGCAATATACATTATTCCCGCTTAACTCATACCTCCTCATAACTCTAGGAAACCGGCAAGAGGGCCTGTGAGCCAACTACGTAAAAGGGCACTGCTTGTACAAATCCTAAGAGAAAAATCCAGACATACCGTGCACTAGTAATCTCATGAAGGTGGGAAACGGCTGAGGTTGCTACGTGCCTAGGGACGTCGTGTTGGGGAGAATTTTTGCGGGGTGCGACCCCTTCGAGATTTCCTGCACGACACCCCGCCCCGTCCCTTCCCTACCTACAATCCTCCTGACTCTTCCACCTTCCTATCACTTTCCCTAAGCTTCTCCAACAAAATTTCCGGTTTCCTCCAAAAAAAAAACAACCCATGAGCAGAGTGTGGTATGTAGCGCACTTGAAACAGGGAAATCCGAGAGAAGTCCACAACCAAACATTTACCTCAGAAGCAAATACGACCCAACCCCCACACTCCCTCAAAGGGCCAAATACGACCCCACCCCGCTGGGGATCCCAACGCACTGCGCCGTGTAGGTGCCACTACCTAAAAACAACCCACGGCTGTATTCTGCGTACTTCATACAAACATCACAAGATACTTCATAAAATCAATGCACCACGAGCTTAGCCTGCATACAATTAATTCAGGGCGCAGTTCGGCGACGAGGGGATATTTTGCACTTTGCTACTAACCACGGAGCTATTTCATGAGCTCACAAGGGTTGACAGGTTTTATCATGGTAGCTCGACGAGCCTACTCTAGCTTAACAAGAGTTCACAGGCTTTACCAGAGTGAAACCTGAAAACCGGAACTAGTGCAGCAGTGAAAGTGCAAAATGCCCCTTCCCCCGTCGCCGAACAGCGCCATGATTCAGTAATCAACTTCAGTAATTAACTTTTTTGACGTGCTTCAGCAGCTGATAGCTTCTTCTAGTATCACCTCTTAATAAACGGAACACTTGGGTCATGGTGCAGAGAGTAGCTAAAAATCGCTCAAAAACGTAATATCCACAACTTTTCACAGGGTCCTTACTACGAGAGGTATGGACTGTTCGAACTCCAGTAGCTTTCAAGGTAATGCAAGCATGAAACTCTACTTTTGTTGAGACACAGAAATCATCGCTGCGACTCTCTTATTGGCGAACTGCAGAAACATGCCACTTCTCCCTTCCCCCACCCCAGGTACTGAGCGCAGCGCTTCATCAGCGGAGCTTGGTATCAGGAATCATGAAATGCGACTCGAAATGATATTACGCGCTGAAGTATGGGAAGAGACAGAAAACCGTCGTGCTAGCAAGTCCCTCCTATAAGCGGCCTTCGAACGAGGTGCGCACTGATGAGGACGGAGAAACGGCCATTCATCTTCTCATCGCGGAATATGCTGTCGAAGCTACCATGGAACGTGAGGAAAGGTGGAAATCAAAAATGCTTAGTTGGACTGGTAAGGCTGCACTTATGTTCTACGACACGGCGCTTCGGGACATTCAGCGTTCTGAGCGAAAAGGATAGCATATTTATCGATCGACGTTGTCCGTTTCGGGAGAAATCGGTGTTCAAGAGAACAAGTGTTTTTCACGGACCGAGCGTGATCGGCACGCTTTAGCGCCGGTCTGAGTTAACCCAATCGCTGCCTTGATCGCTCAAAAACGCTCTTTCTTCCAGAACACCAAACCAACACTTAAACTTTCCTTTTTTCCCATAACGCCAAATCGCAAGTCCTGTACGCAAATTAACCTTTTGTTTTCAAAAACAGCTTTATAAATGAATGAATGAACGATGCTTACCTTTGCAGTTTTTCCATCAAGCTCAGGTAATGCAATCTCTGGTGCCGTTACTGGATAAGTGATCGGAATGTCAAACTCAACATCAAAACTCTAACTCAAAACTCGTATCTGAAAATTTGTTTCTAACAGCAGACACCTCCGGTATGAGCTTGTTAAGTGTATATTACGTGATTATAAAATAAATTGTAAAGTGCGCTGTAGGCCAGTCGCCAGGTAAAAGGTTATTTCAAAACTGCGACAGTCTATTCAAGTTCCGCTAAGCAATTATTTTCTTCTGCCTACACGACTGTTCAGTACCCTGTGATCTGAGCTTCCTAAACAAAAGGTTAGCCGAGAAAACACCGATTTTCCTGAAGCTATGCCTCAGTTACTGAACAGTCCTCCAGAGTTCACAGCCCACAAACATGGAACCGGTTATTTTGATGACTAAGCATTTTTACATTTCCATTATTATGAATTGTGGCAAAAACTACCGCTACATTCATAATCGATACTGGTTTACACTTAAAAGAGTATTGTCCGCCTCAGTAAAGTCGTGTTAAAATTTTGAGAACGGGGAGTGGGTACCTGCGATTTGAGAGCATCCGCCACTGCCAAAAGACGGTGACCTAGAATCTGGTAAAAATCGGTTCTACCTCAAATCGTGGATTCTCCAAAGAGCTAGCAGGCAAAGTCATTCGATTCCCATCTAAGGCTTCACCGCCGCCCCTACTCCCCCCCACGGAATCGCGCATCTTTCACATTCGCAAAGCATAAACGGGGCCTAACACTAGCGTAGGCCTATCGCTTACAACAGTAATAAAGAAACTGAAATAATTCAAGGCGCTCTGAGCTCAGTACTGATCGATTTTCATTTAACCATTTACAACCATGACAGGTGAATATGCAAATTATTAAATAGAGTAATCGAAACTTTAATACAAAATTAGGGAGCTGTTCGGCTTGGAAGGGGCACCAGATGGAACTCGAACTTAGGACAGGATATCTTGTAAAGATATGTAAATTATTGTAAGTAAAATGGCCACTTATACCCACAGATTTACAAGAGTTTACAAATTTTATCAAAGTGAAACCTGGGAAATCTATGAGAATTGCCAAATATGCAAAATGCCCTCCTCTAAGCCGAGCACCGCCAAAACTTATAAAAGTTTACTTACTTGATCATGTTGTGGTAATGCCAACACTTTCCGAACCATTTCGTTCCATCTGCATTCGACTCAAGGCGGAACCAATCCGAGTCAGTTTCTTTATTGTTTTGAACAAATTTGATGATGGATTGGTATTCTTCCTGGAAAAAAAAACTTGTCAAGAGACTGGAATCAAATAAGTGAGCGGCTTTTGAAGTGTACAGCATAAAGAACCATAAAATGTAGGGGTGGAAAAGGAGATGTGGAAAGGGCCCTCCCATCTGAAATTCTTTCGACTTTTTCAAGTTTTTTTTTGAAAGAAAGTTTGAATGTTTTTTGGAGTACACTAGTTTTATTAACCGGAACGAAGGCTGCGGAAGGGAACAACATCAAGAACACAAATAAACCGCTTAATTCGACGCAAGAGGACGGAAGGACCAAAGGTAGCAATGAGTGTGAGCTGACGTTTTTTCATGCATCGGCTGGTAAGCTTTTCAATTTGTCCGGGTACGTTGTACAAAATGGACAGACGAAACAGACAGGAGCTCCTCAAAAATTCGAAGTTCATGTACTCTTCACGAGAGAGTGGAGATCATATGAACCAACCCTTTATGTGCACAATATGACGCTCGCTCACTTGTTATTCGTCCAGCTATCTCAATGAGACCGCGTTCAGAATTCGCGACCGGATCGCTCGAACGATTGGATCGCGCAATACAATCGCGCGGGTCGCGAAGTCTGAACGCGTTCTGCCAAAACTGCGTGGGGAACTCAAGCCTGGTCAATTTGAGGTGATCTTCTGCTCCCGACTGGGACCGTCACATATTCCAGCTTTCAATTGGATACTATACGTATGTCAACGACCGTCGCGCGGAACCTTCTGCCCCGCAATTTCTGAAGGCGCGAAGTAGTCGTCCAGGGCTATTCGCTTCTTTTTGGAACAGAGCTCTGCCCCTTGAGCCTTGTTCGAATTACAACAGCAGTTCTCCTGGCAATCAAACGACGTCGAGGCGATCGGACTGCGTTCATGAGTTTGCCGTCCATCGGCGTGATCGCCTTCAGGTCGCGAGTATGAGCGGCGCTCTTGAGAACTTGAATGGCACATTATTTCTTTTTTGTCTTTCTCCTTATCAGCAACGAGTATAACAGAGTTAGCGAAACAAATGGAGCTCTGTAACGTTACGTTTCGCGGGCTTGATAAATAGGCCTGACAAATTTAGAGAATTAAAAATCCTTCACCTTCAACCGTTCAATCCACAGATCTCCATCCCGTGGCCCGGCTTTAGTTTTACACAACGGAATAGCTTTCAAGCGTGATTTCGTAGAATCATCCATCAGCTTCTACTAACGCCTAAACTGTTCGATAAAGAAAGATGAGGCCGATTGAACAAGCAGCGGAACCTTTTACTCGCGAAAGATCTCCAAAATATTGAGAAAACCTTTTCGATATACATAACAACTAAACAAACAAATTTGTAAAGACTACTCACCACTTTCCGTTGTCAGACTGTCTGCAATTTTTCGTGCATCGCAACATAATTACGACCATACCATTTTCATTACCGTAGTTGGAAGCTCCTAGCACCTCGTCAGCCTTTTCCAAGTTTCTGTGACTTCTGGGAGATGAGAGGCATAGTAGTAGGTTCTTAAGGACGTCTCACTTTGCCTGGGAAACACTGTTTATAAAATATCGACTCATGAGAAGACTTATTGAGCGCGATTGGAGCATAGACAAAACAAAAGCACCATATTTTGCGCGGGAGAGTTGAGTTTTTGAATTTTTCACCCCGATGTAGTCCCAGGTTGCTTTTTGTAAGGGTCAATTTGTCTCTGATTTCGAATGGAGACTTGCCGCGTTCTATTTTGTGCTAATCTGGGAATTTTCGAAAAGGGATGACCACTAGGCCGTGTTTATACTCTGTGAGCGTGAAGAATCTACGATTCAGTCGATTGCTATGCAGTCACAACGTCCGATTCTACCAATTTGCGCATGCCCCGAAAACTGCGCAAATTGGTAGAATCGAATGAAGGAGGGGGGAGGGCGGTCAATTTCCATCCTGCCCATTGTTCCGTGTCTCCGAACTGTAAATTCTACATATTTGCAAAGTACTCTACTTCGCTGCGGACGGTTGGGCGTGTCAGCCAGTATGAGTGTGTCACCCTCTTTGAGCTGTTCTCTGCCTTCTTGTTGAAACGGGCATGCGACAAAAAGAAAACAAGTAATACGAAAGGTATGATACAGTATTGTCATTTGCTCGCTTGAACAACTCGTGGAGAACGAGTTTGGCACCGCGCCAAACGCAGCCGCACGAACACGCCCAACCGTCCGCAATGAACTACACTATATAAGCGCGACATTCATTTTATTGCCCAAGTGGTGGTTCACCTCAGTTATTATAACGATGATTCTGCAAAAAAGAGCATTGTCTCCAACAATTATGGTGTATTTTAAGTTGTAAAATTAGCGTTTTATATCCGTAACTATTCACTACATCTACCGTATTAGTCGCCTAACGTACGGTATACTTCGTTGTGGGACGCAGACGTGTACGTACTATCATTTCCCTGTCCCAATTTTTAGTGTTCTACTGCCAGGAAAATTTTTGAAATGTGCCAGGAAACATGATTTTCTCACCACTGAATGGATTTACCATCGCGCAGCCCCATGGGACGACTTCAGGTTGAAAAGTGAATCAATATGGCGTTAAACATTTCAAAATTTCAGCTTGCTCGAAAGGATCGGTATCATAAGCATCTCCTGAGTGGGCACTTCTAGGGAACAATGGCTACGGTAAGCCTTTGCCATTAAAGGTGGTATACATACTGAGGAGTGGGGAAATCTCTGACACACTTTTTATTGGTGCACTGTTTGTCAAGGGACCCCATTCACCAGGAGTG